CCTTCGTACAGTTCAGCGTTGGTTTGAGTGAAGAAGTAATCCACACACCAAAGTCCTTTTGACTCTCAACTTGTTGCAGCGGTGTACCATTTAAAGAATAGACCTTCGTGCGTGTATGAACAGGTCGGACGAGGTGTGCTGACGAAGTCTCGACTGCGGTGTTTTACCGAAGATGTTTATGCAGCCCCAGCTAGCAGAATAGGACCATCCGATATCCAAATGGCCTCTGGCAATTTGTGCAAGTACGGTGACAGAGACGGGCGCATTTTTGGCCTTCAGGAAAGTGGTTTGTCGGTAAAATTACGATGGATCAACGAGTAATCGATAGTGCCTACTTATAATGTTACGGTGTGAGCACAGTTGGGGGCTGAAATAGCACTCAGTCCACACTTTTCATGGTGATGGGTGGATGGGTAGTGAGATGACGTTCTTAGTTAAATTCTAATGACGATGAACCTACAGATTTCCGATCAGTGCAATGCATACTCCGAACGCCAGTCGGCAATGCGGGCATGTTAGCAGATGTTGGGTGTTTGTAGCCCGGATCCGTGGTATTCCAGATTTGTGAGTGTCACTCTCATCGCTTTAGATTCTTCAGTGATATTCGTAGATTACATATGAGGTTGCCACGGCAGTGCGCCAAGCCTACCGCTCTTGGGCATGCGCTAAATAGTATTTTTTCCCTCAAGTGTATGAGAGCAATCAGTAAGGTTTCCTTTCACGACAGTTTTGTTCGCCTTGCGTATGAACATGTGTAGGGATGTCACGAAAATATTCGGTTAAACAACAGATCACAATCTGTCCTTCTTGATTGGCTGATCCATCGCTACTGTATTTACTCTAGTTGCCTTATAATGAAAGAACCCTGCCATCTAATTGTATTTCCCTTCTCCACCATACAGGAACTGCGTCGCGATCTCACGGAGCTGTTCACGGAGGATGATGAGGAGTACGATGAGGAAGTTGAGGACGAGGAGCCAAACAGGGAGACTAGTGAAAAGGAGCAGCAGACGTTGTCAGTTTTGCCAGCTCTCACTGCCGACGAGCCTCCTAATTCATACTTCGGTTCAGAAACCTCTGTGCAACCCGTTTCCATGTAAGTCTCGCGCATTTGACTCAGCAACAATCATTATTAGGGTGGTGGTGGTAGATTTGAATAATTCAGTTGACCCCGGTGGGATTCGAACCCACACAGCAGGGAAGGCTTTTGTGTAGTCAGCACCCCATCACTGAGCTACGAAGGCCCACCGAAGCTTTGATTTAAATCCCATTTGGGTCAATTTACCCACCCAGCCTACTTCTCGTGTAGAATCCACAATTACAGCTACCATAAACTGAATGCCCAAGCAGGATCTCCTAAGCAATCACCTAGAATATACCAGAAGGACTTACTAGGCTTCAAAGCTTCGGCATGCCTTTGGAGCTCACTGGTAGAGCGTTGACTGTACAAAAGCCTTCCTTGCTGTGCATTGGTTTAAATCCCACCGAGGCCGCTAATTTTCCACACTTTGTTCAGCTGAATCACCAACAATCGTCGGAAAAAGAAGCCCACCATTAGGCGATCTTTGTATAGTCCGTGCTAGCAGAAGTCCGAATAAATGCCTTTGTATTTGGTTCATTTTTTTTCACAGCTTCTATGCCCTAATCAAGCGTTCATCTCCCCATCTTCTCAGTACCCTAGATATGGCAAATCGGGTAAAGCGTCAACTGAGCATGCATCTACAGCTGCTGGCAAGCACATTTGCGGCCACCATCACACTGTCCGATCTGGAGGAGACTGTATGTCGGCCTATCACTTCTTTCGTCGATCAGATCCACGCCAGCCTCCACCGTCCGTCCTCCCTGCTCGCCAGTCTTTCCTCCATCCGCGATCTCCTACCGGTTGTCGATGAGACACGGAGGTTTGTGCACGAGTTTGCCGGTCTCAGCATCCTACCCTGCTTCAGTTATTCTACGGAGGATCGAGACCAGCTGTTAAACACCCGCTCCATCCCTCTGCCCTTCTTCCTCATGGATTATATCCTGCGCAGTGCCCTCTGGCCCTACCCTGACCTCTTGCCGCCTGGATTGGCTTGTCCCACATCGCTGGCTCCGCAGCGCCAACGGGACATGTTCACCACCGACGAGGACAGTCTCCTCGTCCTGGGAATAGCCAACTTCGCAGAGGCCTCACCCACACGTTTCGCTGACTTTGTTGAGCACTGCAACCTTGGTAGCACGACGGCAGCGGCACCGGGAGATAGACCGCAACGAATGCAGTCGAGTTTCTTTCGGTTTACCGCGACCCATCTCCTGCCGACACGCACACCGCGTCAACTCTAC